CAGAAGCGAATCGCATCCGAGAAAACGGGATAAGATTAGCTTTGTAGTTTTCCGGTTGGCAAAGTTACTAAAGGACACAGTTTACTAGATCGATAATCCATCGGCCCTGCTTTTAATCCAGTGAACGCTTATGGACGTGAATCATAACGTCGGTTAATTGAGCGCTATTAAACAAGTGTATTCATAAGTACTCATAATAACAACTAGCATTAATCGAGTTATTGGGGCCGTTAGGCCGCGTCCAGACTAACGAACCGAGCCCCAGCAAGTTCCTTTGATATTTCCATTTAAACATCAACGAAATTATGCCTTAAGAAAAGTTATGGCAACAATTGTTCAAACGAACAAACGCACAGCATGGGAGCGCTGGTTTATGTAAATGAAAATTAGCAAGCACTCCTATCGCGCGAACTGCTTAATGAGATAAAAAAAATTGGGTGTATTTTTACCTAGAGCCTGTATCTCGTAACGGCCGCCTTTTAATTACTTAACTAATCTGATTCGGGCACTCGTTCGCACCGGCCCTGAGAACTCTTTAATCTAATGAGTTCCAAGCACGTGGCCGCAAACGCTTCTATTTTAGCCCTTTCAAATAAGTTGAAAAACAATGCTTAGACGGCGAAGCTGCTGAGAAAAGCAACAGTGTTATCTCAAGGCATAGCGACCAAACGGCAACGCCGCCATGGAAATTTAAAGGTCCAACAATAAACAATTATTATGGCGCCCATGTTCTGACAAAACAATTGCGATAATTGCAAAACTGTCCACGTACGTTTGTCCCGGACAATGACGAGCGGGGAATGCGACATATTGCGCGTCCGTTTTGAATTGTCTGCAGAAAAAAATGCACAAAACCGCCAGGCCAGGATGTGGAAATAATGCGAATGTTTCGCCTCTATTGTGGAACTGATGTTTGATCGGTCCGGGTAATTGTCGCTGGAAAATTATATTTCCGGAATTTTGAGGGCATTAGCCAAACTTTTACTCAATTTGACAGGCTGCAGACGTTTTAGTGGAGGTACCGATTCCTGAACGATGCCCTTAATAGAGAGATTTAATATCGATGATGAATGAGGCAATAGAGCAGTCCGAACAATACGAACAGACGCCGAACATCTGTCCGCTCCATAAACTGCAGCAGGAAAATGATTTTCAAGGCGAAAGTAATGGATCGGCGCGCTTGCATAATGGAAACGGTAAAAACGCACACCGGCCAGACTTGACGGGGAACATTTGCATCGCATGTCAAAACAAGTGCAGGCACACACAAAGGCTCAAACGGCCGAAAAAAGTGGTTGGCAAACATGTAAACCGGTAACGGTTAATTCCCAGAGTAGAAGTTGGCTTATTTATGGCGTTCGTTGCCAGGGGGGAGTTAATTGCTTTTTATTAGGCGCCGGCCTATTCGGCGAAAGTTCAACTCAGTTAGGTTGATATTTCATAATTATCATTGGGGCTAATCTGGGCGCGCAAGCGGAACATCAAGATGAACTATGTGATTCACATGTCGGCAGCCGAGCAGTGATATGGTAAGATGGCGCGCAACGGCCGATAAACGGTTGACATTGACATTCATTTGAAAATTATCCTTCGTTTTGCGCATTTTTCAGCAATAAATACAGAAAACTTCACTCTCAGTTTCTTCAAAGTTTGATTTTCCTGCAGGTCCAAACCGAATTTGGAAAATTAGTCAAAGTGAGACTTGCAACGACTTTCACGATTAATTCACCCGCCGTTCTTGAAAAAATTTTCACGACGAAACCAGACGAGAACAAGGTGCGGTTTTTAGGGCAGTGAATAGAGCAAGTTTTCACTCTATGTTTGTTGAAAGTTTGATTGTCCTGCCGATCCGGACTAAATTTTGAGAATTACTCAAAGTGAGACTTGCAACGATTTTCACAATTAATTTACCGGCCCTTTTTGAAAAAAAATTCTCGACCAAACCAGCCAAGAATAAAGAGCACTTTTTAGGGTAGTGAATAGAGTAAGTTTCACTCTATGTTTCCTGAAGGTTTGATTGTCCTGCCGATCCGGCCCAAATTTTGAGAATTACTCAAAGTGAGACTTGCATCGACTATCACGATTAATTTACCCGACCTTTTTGAAAAAAATTTTCACGACCAAACCGGCCCCGAATAAAGAGCGCTTTTTAGGGCAGTGAATAGAGCAAGTTTTACTCTATGTTTGTGGAAAGTTTGATTGTCCTGCCGATCCGGACCGAATTCGGAGAATTACTCAAAATGAGACTTGCAACGACTTTCACGATTAATTTACGGGCCCTTTTTGAAAAAATTTTCACTACCAAACCAGGCGAGAATGAAGAGCGTCTTTTAGGGCAGGGAATAGAGCAAGCTTCGCTCTATGTTTCGCTTTTTTTTATTGTTCTGCCGAGCCGGACCGAATTTGGAGAATTACTCAAAGTGAGACTTGCAACGAGTTTCACGATTAATTTAACGGCAGTTCTTGAAAAAAATTAAACTAAAAACTTAAAACTAGCGGAGAATAAAGAGCGCTTTTTAGGGCAGTGATAGAGCAAGCTTCGCTGTATTTTTCTTGAAAGTTTGACTCTCCTATCGATCCCGACCGAATTTGGAGACAAAGTGACACTTTAACAACTTCTGCGACCAAATTTTTCGGCCGTTTTCCAAGTTCTTGCAATGAAACCAGTGAAGATTGAAAATCCATTTTCGGCATTTGAAAAGATCAAACTCCACTCTACCTTTCCCCAAAATTTCATTTTTCTACAGCTCCGGACCAAGTTTTCATTATCACTCAAAGTAAGACTTGCCGTGATATTTGTGACTAAATTTGCCCGCGATTTTTCAAAAATTTCCTGCCTGGCTTGGCCCATTTTATTCGCAAGGGATTTGCCGATCTGATCTCGCTCAGAGCAATCTTGGCCCTTTGGTGGGCACCTTTAGAGCCTTCTGGCAACATTGAGCCGGCACCCGGTCGTCGTTTAAAGCTAATTTATCCAGAAACATCCTGGTATAATGGATGGTCCTCGCCCTCAGATAGCATCTAATAGTCCGCAACCTTTGCATAAATATTCGGCACTTTCGTTTTGCGGGCCACTGGGTCTTTGGGGCCGTGAAAATTAAGCGTCTGGGAGCCTCGGCAGCTCTTAATCGCCGGATAGAACTGATAATGTGCGATATTATTGACAATTTCCCTCGGAGGAAACACACTCTGTAGGGGCAACAAGTCGCGGCTTGACGGGACGGAAAACATTTGGAAAAAAAATTATTTAAAATTAGCGCACACCAACCACCCCAATTTGAATGGGGCGTCTTTTGCTCTACGGCTCTCGACAAGTCAAACCTGTCGCAAACAGACAGTTCATTCATTCCAGTATCGCGTCAAAACTAATCCAAAATAAAGCGCTTCAAGGCAATGATGTCGGGAGCAATTACACGGTCGAGAGCCGTTCTGGTTTTCCTTTCTTTGGCTTATTATTCCGCATTCTTTGCGTTTGTTTCGGGTTTGAAGAATTGGGAAATCCTCCCCTAAACTAATCCAGAGGCTTAACAGCTCATCCATTGGCCACAATACATCCCCTCCTTGATAACCTCGGATTACTTCACTTTTCTGTCGAAGGTCAATGGCACGCAGTGCCAACTGTCAACTGCTGAAAGTAATGACATCAAGCAAAGCTAACCTGATTGTTCCTGTTAGGTGATGTCAACCGTCAATAATGCGGGGCCGATTATCAGTATGCCCTCTCGCTTAGCCGAAGTCCGTCACAGGCCTAATTCAACGTGTCCCCCGAGAGACCCGCCGAACATTCAAGTTTAGCAGGTGGCTGTGGAACAGAAAGGTCCGAAAAGGTCGCAAGCTATTAAATAGAACGACGCGAGTGTGATCTGGGTGATAAAGATCGATGGGAGGGGGGACCTGGATGAGCCCGAATCTGCGATAATAATCCATTCGAAATGAAATAACCAAAATTTATTCATGCCCCAAAGATAATTCGCCAATTTGCCAGTTCAACTACCGATGGGGGTGCTGCGAATGCAAAAATCATCAATACATTGGTAATACCTTTCTGGCATCCCATATTTTAACCTTTGTTTTTAAGTCTATAACATAAAACAATACTTACACACTTCTCAATGTGTTTAAAGGA